ATGCGAAGATGCAAGGGGTATGTGTACATTTCCAGGGTCCCAAGCAATGTGAAAGCAATTGTAATAATCCAGCATATAGGCCTGGTTTAATGCTCTCATAATGGGTAATGCAGGTGATTAAATACTATGATTTTAATCTTGGCATTTTAGTAACCCAATAAGATAGATGAAAAGGCAGTAACAAATTAGATTATATGATGATATTTCATTCTAACCAAGAAGTCCAGTTATTCTCCGCAATATGTGGTTTTGTTTTTTAAGTTTATCATGGTATAGTCTTAAAAAATGCTCTAAGAAGAATCTTCTACTCTTTTCATTATAATCTGTTTTCATGACCTTGTAAAAAAGAAAATAATCTGAAGTCAAATTATCTCCACAAATACAACTTTATATTGCTTCATTGGCTTTTGGGAGGACACCAAGATGATCCCCACCTCTGTCTCGTCTGGAACTGTACTTCATTAATCTGTTGGGCAGTACAGAGACAACACGACAGCCCTCACTGGTCTTCCTGGCCCGGGAAGAACAGATGGGTGGACATAGGACAGGGGCCGACAACCCTGAGTGGGCGTGCCAGGCCTGGCACGCATGAGCCACCATGCAGCCCTGAGTGGGCGCGCCGGGCCTGGCACGCATGAGCCACCATGCAGCCCTGAGTGGGCGCGCCGGGCCTGGCACGCATGAGCCACCATGCGGAGGTGATAAGACATCAGGTGTTCTCCTCCACTGCGTCCTGACAACCCTCGCAGTTTGGGCATCTGCTTCCCAGATGGTAGTGTGTGTGATTTAATTTGGAGAGTCACAGGCATATTTCTATACTCTGGCTACAACATAAATCGCCCGGCATCTCTGTTCTTGGTGCCATTCCAAGTGTCCGTGGTCTTCCCAGAATGTCTGTTTGTTTCTTGTGTTGGTTTTTTCTCTCCGTGGTCTGTGCCACGTTCAGTGACCGGGCCATGTACGACCCCAGAACCGGGGGAGAGCAGAAAGCTACAAAGGCAGAGCAAGGCACAAAAGGCCAACTGTAATCTTCAGTTCCATCTCTGTGTATCTACTAAAAATACAAACCAAGAAAGAGACGGGCTTCTAACTTCTTTTCCTGGCGGTACTGTAATCCTCAGTGAAGATCTGTAGCGAGCTTGGTAAAGTTTATGATGGTTTGTGAAATAACCTATGTCGTTTATATGGAAAATTCTGTGGGTGCTTTTTCCATCCCTCCCCCCGCCCCTTCCTTCAACAGAATCCATCCCTCTTGTCATAATCTTCAGCTTGGCTTCCATACAGCAGTGACCCCTGTCACCTGTTACATTTAAAGAACCTGACCTGCTCTCTCCAATTTAGTTTAACTGTTTAAAACAAAATAACCGATAAATGAGCTAGCTGCCAAGAATTGGGAACAGCAAGGAAATTGGAAACAAGTTTCCAGAAGTCTTGCCATGGGGACGTTTCTTTGTTGAGTTTAGAGTCATGCACACAAACGAGTTTTGTTGGATGGTTCTGGCAACCCCCGAGAACATCAACCACCACCGTTTACCGAGTACCCAGTGCACCTCAGTGGGGGCAGCCCCGGGAGGGAGCTATTGTTCCATTTTATGTATAACGCAAATTATCTTGAGTGACAGACTACATTCACATCCAGTTTCTTGCAAAGCTCCTGCATTTGATTACTAAGTTCATGTTTTAACCACCTCGTGTGGTTTCATGATTTTACCTGGAAATCCAAGGAGGTGTTTCCAGGACTCTGTCAGGTTGGGGAGCAAAGCAAACTGGAATGCTTTCACCGTACGATTTGCTTTGAAAAGAGGGTTCCAATATTTAAGTGTTTGAGGATCACATAGCATACCGTATTTGCCATCCCTAATATGCATGTGTGTATATTTACGTATATGTGCGGGCGTGTTTTTATATATATGTGTGTACATATATGTGCATACACACATGTACATATGTCTGTATCATATATGTGTATATATTAGGAGTAGAACATGTTAGTATAATATATATGTATGTGTGCATGCGTTGAGCACTTATTTGATGCCAGGCTCAGTACATGAGGCTTTACTTAGGTTAACTTGCCAAGCCCCCCAGGAGATAGGAATCCTCCCTGTTGTACTGGTACACACTAGGATAGGGTGGGCATTGCTTCTGAGTTCACAGAGCTAGCTGCTGTCCACATCAGTTCCCCTCAGTGCCCGGACCCTTCCATGGTACTGCTGCTCCGGGGGTCTGACTCACCTGTCTCTGGAATTCCTGATGGGCATTACCCTCACTGGGTAACCCTTATTAAGCATTTTCCTATTTGTATCCTGGGGATGGCTGGCCTTAGAGTACTAGATGGTTTGTTACTTTAGGGCAATTAATTAACTTAGAGCTTTCTTATTTGCATTCCCATCTGAAGGCATGTCCTTCCCCTTTGTTTGGAAATAGGTGAAATAGGTTCCTGACTTCACCTCCGAGAGGAACCAGCCCTCTTCTCTGCTGTCGCTTCTTCTTGGAGTGTAAAGGAGGGTGGGGCCCTGGTGTCCTGCGGGGACACGGTGACCAGGCCGATTGCTCACTCATGGCTGCTCCGGGAACAGTTATCTTCAGTCCTCTTGTGGAAAAGGGCCACGCAGAATTGAGGCCGGTGCATGGGTCAGACGACCTGGGACCTGTAAGAGAAGGAAAGCCTCGCCTGTCTCCCGGCTTCCTTGCTTCTTTGGGTTTGCTGAAAGCTGACCCCGCCTCTGTGATTTTCATGTTGTTCTGGATGCTGACTTTTTCTTTTTCCTGTGCATGATTCTTCAAAATGGAATCTAGGCCTCTAGGAATATTCTTACCTACCCTTGTCAACAATTCTGGGATTTCAGAAAAATTACAGGTTACGATTTTTGTCTAAAAGGGAAAAAAAAAAGAACCCAGTAAGATGTGCCACTGTCCTCGCTGATGTTGAGTGCATACTGTTGTGGTTCACAAGACGAGCTTATCTGGGAGCCAGCATCTCATAGAGTTCTGGAAATGTCTACTTTTCCACCTTCCTGTTCTGCTGGTCTCTCATCATAAATCTGCAAATAAATTTGTATTTTGTAGTATTTATTTTTGAATCGGACTGGAAAGATTGATTTTCCTTTCCAGTCGAAAGAAAATTAAGGAACTGGAGCATCCCCATGCTCTAAAGTAGCAACATGTTTAAGTGGAACTTAGGATTGAACCAACAACACAGAGCTAACTTGTTCTGCCATAAAGAGCTAAAGTAGGAAGGCTAGTAGGCTGTGCTGATTTCTATTTAAGCATAAGTCATTTTACTAACTTCTGAGTGGGTATGGAAAGCCTCAAGTTGTTTTGAAAAGAAATAGCTGTTTTCAGGTGGCGAGTGCTCACTCTGCCCACATGTAAATTTAGAAAACTCTGGATTTTTATTTTCCTACACCAACAGAGGCATCCGAATAACAAATAAAAAGCCTTATTTTTTTTTTTTTAGTTCAAAGTGAAAAAGAGTAAGAAACAGCACGTGAGCAACCCCCCTCCCCCCATATTTCAACCTCTTATTTTCCACTGAGAGAAAATGTGTTACTGATCTGTGGCTTCATATATTTCAGTGTCTACACTGTGCACTTGGTGGGGCTGGCTGCTCCCAAGATTGTGTGTTCTGACAGGGTGATGTGGGCCAGCACCCAGCCTGGGCACGCCTTTGCTTCAAGAGGCATGATGAGAAAATGCATCTCCCCTCCCTTCTCCCCTCCCTTTCATTTTGTGCTGAAAACCAGTGGCACAAGAGGAATTTGCCGTGCTCGGTGGATCTGTCTCTACCACGGCCTCCCAATCCTGTGCGCATTCTCTCTGAACGAGGAAGGGAGGCAGTTCACTGGATGATCCACACAACACATTTTCTACTAGAGAAGAAACAAGGCAGTGCCGGGTGGGGGGTGGGGGTGGGTGAGATCCACAAACTGGCCTTTTTGGAAACAGTGGTCCCCAGGGAAGGAATCCCCAGGAGCCATTCAGGCGAGGGCGGCAGCAAGGTGTGTTTTAGAATTTATCTTCATCAGCTCATTCGTTAGAACCAAGGCTCGATCAAACCCTCATTCTTTTCCAACTTTGTAGCCCCAGGAGTACTTAATTCCGGGACGTGGCTAATCAGGTGGCACTTGAAAGAGGAGTGGCAAGGGAAGGGCGCTGTCAGGGCTGGCTCATGGAAGGGAGGAGATGTCTTCCTGACGGTGAAGCCCAGATCTGTGAAACTGGTTTCACCCCCAGCTGCGAGACCCTTGCAGTAAAGGTTCAAGCACAGACATATAGTCTGATTGCACATTAATTCTTACAGACTTTTGCAGTTTGCATCCTTCCTTTATGGGCAACTCCACTGTGTGCATGACCACATGAATTTGCAATTCATTCATTTTTCTTTCTTTCTTTCTTTCTTTCTTTCTTTCTTTCTTTCTTTCTTTCTTTCTTTCTTTTTCTTTCTTTCTTTTTCTTTCTTTCTTTCTTTCCTTTCGTCCTTCCTTCCTTCCTTCCTTCCTTCCTTCTTCCTTTCCTTCCCTTCCCTTCCCTTTCCTTCCCCTTTCCCTTTCCCTTCACTTCCTTTGCCTTTGCCTTTGCCTTCTCCCCCTCCCCTCCCCTCCCCTCCCCTCCCCTCCTCTCTTTCTGCAACACCGTGATGGTAAGAGGTAAGCTTTCAGTGGTGAAACTAATGTTCAGGTCAAATGGAACATATAATCACAGAACTACTTAAACTCAGATGCCTGTGGTTTAGGATTTCTTGTCATCAGGAAAGCCAAAGGCCAGCCTTTATTTTTCTGTATTCAGAGTGCCATGAAATTTCTCAGAGGTTCATTTCCTTGGCCCAAATAATTCTACCTGCATTTGTCACCATGATTTTAAGGTCATTGTACTGGAAACATATATGCCTGATGTCTTTTCCCCAAGACACCTTGAGTTCACTTAAAATCCTTCTTATTTTCCTGTGGAGATATTTGTCTCACCCATACTTCTTGTGTCTGCTTTTCTTTTTTACCCAGGCCTTCTGCCTTATCTAGTAGCCCAACATATTCAGACCTGCCCTTCATCAGGATCTCCCCACACCGGAACCCCGCTGCAGCCTCCGAACCCCCCTTCAGCCCTCCACACCCCTACATCAACCCCTACATGGACTACATCCGGTCTCTTCACAGCCCGTCCCTCTCCATGATCTCGGCAGCCCGGGGGCTCAGCCCCACAGACGGTGAGTCAGTCCCCAGCCGACCCGTTCTGCTTCCCACCTCATGCCCCACCTGGAACGTGGTGTGGAGCAGCTGTGATGTTGACTGAACGTTTCCCGTGTGCCAGACACTGTGCTAAATGCTTTAAGAGCACGCTTCACGTCAGTGTTAGGACATCTCCGTGAGGGTGGGGTTATTGTCTTGTTACCGGGTGAGGAGAGCAATGAGCAGAGGGGCTAAGTAACTTGCAAAGTGGCGCACTGGCTACTGGAACTCAAAGCCTGAACTCAGTGACTACAGACACCTGGCTCCTATCCACTGTTGTGTTCTTAGTCGGCCTGGTCGCCGTTCACACAGCATGCAGGCATACCCAGCCATTTGCTCACCTTCCAGTGAACGCTTTTCCGTTCTGCATGTCTGAGAGGCGTGTTTATACAGATGTGTCTATTAGATCAGCGCTTCTTAGATCTCACTGTGCACGTGGACCACCCGGGAATGATGATAAACCGTGATTCTGTGTGGGATGGGTCCAGGGGGGATGCTGAGATTCTGCACGCTGGAAAGCTCCCAGGTGGTGTCAGGGCTTTGGTCCGTGGACCACGCTCTGAGTAGCAAGTCTTAGAGAACGTGATGATCTAGATCCGTTGCACATGCCCTCCAACCTTGATCATGCCCCGTGAAAACTGGAAGAGGGATATGATGGGAAAAGAAACCAACTTTGACTTTAATTTTATTATACTCGATGCTCATTTTAAGCTCTCAAGGGTCAAATTCCTGTTGGTTCTATTAGCTTCCCAATTAATTACTTTTCACAAGACTAATTAGAGCTGTGTATCCCATAACTGTCAAATTATAAAACACTCCTTTGATTCAGGAAGAGCATTTTCCATCTCTTGCACACATACACAAACTTCACTTGCCCACAGTTGCTGGAATCTGAGTTAAGGTCCAGAACTGCGTAAGCCATATTAATTAGAAATTGCAGATTAGGGGTTCTCTACAGCAGCTCACTAATTGCTGGGGCTTGTGTCAGAAACCCCCGTGCAGTCCTGTCTCACTGAGCAGTGTGACCTTGCACCACCCACCTTCTCCCTGAGGACCCTTCCCGGGGCTGGCTGTGCGTGGTGGCGAGAGGTGGGAAGCCATGTGGGATTTCTCAGTACATCCCTACTCGGTTCTACTTCCCGGAGCATCTGTGCTGCCTCAGTAGCTTTCCACACATCTCTTTCTGATTCAGCTCAGCAGATACAGTTAGGAGGTACCTAAGGAATACGTTGTGCCATTTGGATGAGAGTCACATCACAAAAATGAAACCGTAAGAGAGTCAGACCCAAGTTAGTTCTCCTGTTTTGGATTTGGTGTTACCATGGGGACAAATGGAGCTATCTCCTTGGAGTATTTAGGAGTTCGCAGAAATGACTACACAGAAGAGAGGGAGAGGGGTAAGGGAGGCCAGCTCACAGCACACTTGGAGTTATGCCTGGCTTGCAGAAATTTCATTGGGCGAGGGGAAAGTGGAACCTTGAGTTAAAGCATCATGTCATCTGTTTTCCGTAGTATTTGATGATGAGTATGAATAAAACGTTCTTTGGTTGGTTTGTTCTGCCTTCTTCTTCTTGCCTTTCAAGAGTCTAATTAATAATCAAATGCAGTCAAGTCATAGATGACTCTCACATGTAGGCTAAGAGGTTTGTGTGTATCTTTGTCCAGATATTTTTATCGTGTATAAAAAGTGTGGACACAGATCTAAACATACACAGACCTATTGCTAGAATACCCGTTGTTTCTACATAATAATTGTAAAACTAACCTCTACTAATGGAATGCTATGCGCTGAATACTGTTGGATTCATTGCTACCGACAGCCCTTTGGAGTGGTAAGATGAGCTGGGATTTGCATCCAGATCTTGGAGAATCTGGAGACCACCCTCAAAACTGCTACAGTATCTTGATGCTTTTGCACATAAATTGGCAGTGGAAACAGATTATTATCCCACTCTTACAGAGCTGACTCTTGCCAGTAAATTGCTCCAGATTGGTAGGTATTTTTCCTTTTTGATTTTGTAATAAAAAGGGGGAAAAAGAAGAGCTTTAAAATTATGGAACACAAAATTGCAGTTTATCACCCAGTGGTGCGTTGTTAAAGCTACACTGTGTTTTCCCCTCATAAGCCCTGGGCCCTCCAGGTAGTGAGAGCTGACTCAGGCACTCCGGCCAGGAGCTGAGGGAAGTGTATCCGGAAAGATATCACAGTTGTCTCCATTGTCTACCACTGTAAGAAATGTGATTTTATCTAAGAAGTGATTTAATTTGGGGGGGCGCACACAGGGGAAGGAGAACATATATACATTTTAATCATTTAGAATTCTTGGCTCTTTCTTTAGCCTCAAACATTTTATAATACATTTTATTTTTCCTATTCTTTTTCTTCAGTTTTATTTTCAAGTGACAGGTATCCAGTAGGCTTCAGTGGGAAGCACAGTTTGAGTTACAGAAGTTTTACTAGCATGAGCCATGAAAGGAATTGCTGACATTGGGCTACGTGGCCAACGGACTTTGGGATGTCTCAAGAAACATGTCTTATTGACCTGTTCCAACTAGTCACCATGCTTTGCTTGTCTGCTCTTCTAGCCCCCCACGCCGGGGTCAGCCCCGCGGAATACTATCATCAGATGGCTCTGTTAGCTGGCCAGCGCAGCCCCTACGCGGACATCATTCCCTCGGCCGCCACTGCCAGTGCTGGGGCCATCCATATGGAGTATCTTCACGCCATGGACAGTAAGTGAGGGGGCTCTCTTCTGTAATCCTGGCAGTGGCAGATGCTAACTCGGGAATTGTAGAGAAAGATGCAACGATTAGGTGATTGTCTAACCTTTGAAACCAGAGAAGGAGGAAGCATATTTGGTGCTCAGCTTTCCTTGGTTTTCTAAGAGGCTTCTACACATCTGGCCGTCCTGGAACTCTTTGTGGAGAGTTCCGGGATACCAACAAAGTGGAAGATGCAGGGGATTGGAATTTGGCAGATATATAAAGAACTCTCCTGCCCTGATTGTCCTGAGAACAAAATAAGGGAATGTGTTTGATGACATGGACATACTTCACCCAGTCACTCTTTGGTTTTCTAGATTTTGTGCTTTAAAAGTTAATTTTTATTTTTTTCCAAAGATTTATCTATTTATTTTAGAGAGAGAGAGAGAGAGAGAGAGCATGTGCATGCGTGTGAGTGGGGGAGGGGAGAGAGAATCTCAAGCAGACTCCCGCTGAGCACAGAGCCCAACACAGGGCTTGATCCCATGACCCTGAGATCATGACCTGAGCCCAAACCAAGAGTTGGAAGCTTAACCGACTGAGCCACCTATGAGCCCCTAAAAATTAATTTTTACAAAAAACCTAGACTTGGTTTTTGCATTTTTTACATGGATTTGTTTTGCCTTATATGTTTTCTTTACATGGAAAATTATATTTCACTAAGACCTTTTATCTAGGAAAAATAAAAAGCATTTCCAAATCAGAAAGAGCGATTTTTAGCACATAACAGTAGAAGATAATGGCATCCTTTGATGCTTTTTATATCACTTATTTTTGGATCCCTCAAGGCTTATGGCGATTCCTTTGGGTCACTTATCTAGACATATAGACAAATGAGCCTATGAATATCACGGTTCAGAACATCCAAGAATTCTTATTTATTCAGATTCTTTCAGTTCCATTTGCCAGGTGCCAGGAAGTGAATGCGAAGCGTTGTCTGAGGTGTCCATCAATGAAAGCCGCTACTCCTTGATTATGACAACTAAACGGCTTTGAGTAGGGCATATGTTGGGGGTTGGTTGGTTGGTTGTTTTTACCGGTGGCCGCGCTTTTTCATCTACAGTCTGTTTGGATTCTTCTGTGACAAAGGTGTGTACTGGTCAGCTCTCTAATGCAGCCTTCAGGTTTGGAGTGGAGAGAGGGTGATTGTTTTCCACAGTTCCGTCTTCTTACAGCCATGAACGAACTCAGCTGAGTAACCCAGGATCCCTGCTTGCGATGGTTTCCATTGGGGAGTTCATTACCACACACAAAGTAAAAGAAATGTGTTTTATCTTCTGCAGGGCTTTTGTTGTTTGGCTTTGTAGAGTCAAGAGCTTACATTTCAGATTCATCATAACCACATTTCAATTAGGGATTGTTGGGAAAAAAAGTTCAGTGTTATTATGCAAATTAGTTATTTAAAAATCTGCAAATAAAGAATTAAAATCGGGGAGAATCCTTGGAAGGTCAGCCCGCATTACCTTCTATATTTGATGAGAATGTGTTCAGTCAGGCAATGATGGTTTTTATCTAAATAAAGAATGAAGCTACCCTTTTACTTTGTAAAAACTAATTAAAGGAATTTTAATTTGCCTGACTATATGGTAAATTGATTGTCATTAAGTAGGAATTTAGATGTCCTATCATTCATCACATAAAAAGAAACCTCCTTTTTCTTTGTCAGATTTTTTTATTAGAACAGAGAAACAAAACAATTAACGGAAAGCCAGATCGGAGATATCTGTGTTGGAACAATAAGAATACTCGGGCTTATGTGTTAGAAGGAAACCGTGTATGATCAGTGAAGAACTGGGTGATTTCTCTTTCAGCTGTCTTGAAAATGTTCACCTTGTGTTTTAGCTGCTCCCCTCAAGAGGGGATCCCAAATCACCGTTCCAAAATGCTGACTTTCTCTGTTCACTTGGTTATTAGGGGGTTAGGAAGAGTATATTAAAGGTTGGAAAGTGCTTAAAATACTATCTTCCCTCTAAAAAAAATTGAAATAGCATTTAGTTAAACATAACATAAGGAGACTACTCAGAATTTAAATCATAGGAGACTTTTCCAACAGAAAAGCAAAAACAATTATAAATCACCACCTTGGATGTGCACCTGCAGTGGCCAAGCCCAACTGGAATCTAGCTGGTCACTCTCCCCCATTGTTAATGGATCTTCAGGACTCTTCAGTTGACAGAAACCATAAGAAACAGATTTTATTTTTTTTTTAAAGATTTTCTTTATTTATTTGACAGGGAGAGAAATAGCAAGAGCAGGAGCACAAGCAGGGGGGATGGGAGAGGAAGAAGCAGGCTTCTCGCCAAGCAGGGAGCCCGATGTAGGGCTCCATCCTAGGACCCTGGGATCATGACCTGAGCCGAAGGCAGACGCTTACTGACTGAACCACCCAGGCGCCCCAAGAAACTGGTTTTAGATGAGCACTTGCCTTTTAAATGTGCCAACAATGGGCATATCTGGGTTTTAGCCACGTTCAGGACAGACTACTTAATGTCGCATGTTAGAATAAGCAAGTCTGGGGGTGCCTGGGTGGCTCAGTTGGTTAAGCAGCTGCCTTTGGCTCAGGTCATGATCCTGGAGTCCTGGGATCGAGTCCCACATTGGGCTCCCTGCTCAGCGGGGAGTCTGCTTCTCCCTCTGACCCCCCCCCATCTTGTGCTCTCTCTCTCTCTCTCTCTCTCATTCTCTCTCTCAAATAAATAAAGAAAATCTTTTAAAAAAATGAATAAGCTAGTCTGCTTTATGGATCTAATTCTGTCTTTCGGGATTAAGGACCTTAGAAGCCAGGAGAGGAAGTAATCCCTATGAGGGACATTCTAGAATTGCGGGCTCCCGAAAACCACATTATTTGTATGGTGGAAACTGACTTATATAAGAGCCCATTCGGGAGGGAAAAACAGAGAGGAGCTGGACCAACCAGGCCATGGGCAACAGGAAGCCTTCCTCAGAAGTGATGAAGGGAAGCCTCTGGGCTCTGTCTTTGGACGTTGTAAGGGGCCCCTAAGACCTTTGTTGCTTCATAACATCAGATGGCCACCTTATCTAGTTAGTGATTAAAAAAATTAGAGGTGTTCCAGGGATCATCTCTGTCTAGAATGTCCTGTTACTCTTAACTCTGCCAGTGATCACTGAGACCCATCGAGGAGGGTTACTGCTGAGGATTATATGGAAGTAGACAGTAAGTCTGCAGTCCTTGAAGTCGTTTGGAAGTGGAATGTAGTTCTTCACTGAAAAACTAGGGGCGCCTGAACGGCTCAGTCAGTTAAGCGTCTGCCTTCGGCTCAGGTCATGATCCCGGGGTCCTGGGATCAAGTCCCACATCGGGCTCCCTGCTCAGCGGGGGAGCCTGCTTCTCCCTCTCCCTCTGCTCCTCCCCCTGCTTGTGCTCTCTCTCTCAAATAAATAAATACAATCTTTAAAAAAAAAAAAAGAAAAGAAAAATGATGAAATTAGCCTCTCGTCGTGAGTAAATGTGGAACATTTCTGTGTAAGGCAGATGCCATAATAAAAGTAAGATGCTGATTTAAACACTAAAAGATGTGTATGTAGCTGGGGTGGCTATGTTCGTACTAGCATGGCCTAAATCAGGCTGATAATGAAATTATTCTAAATGAAAAAACTCAATTTTGAATGTGTCTGAAAGAAAAATTTGACTAGGCACCATATTCATCTTTCAAATTGGTTTTCCAGTTTTATACATGGATGATACTAACTTAACTTCCTAAGCTCCAGTTTGTGATTTATTTTTTAACTATAAAGTATATCTATTTATTCTATGATATTACCTATAGACTCATTCATCGATTTCATTTCATTAAATGATCTCGAAGCATGTTGGATTGTTATCTTGTGTCAAGGTCCATGATGAAGAAAATATTCCCATGGAAGTGTCCAGAGACCAAGTGCCTAGGCTTTTTTCTATAAAGAAGGCTTACCTTCTACTTCAGCGCTCTGCGTGCCACAAAACTGTAGTGTCCGCATATGCAAGTATACCCGTACTGTAAAATAGGAAACCTCCATTGTGACGCAAAAGGAATCATGTTCGATTTGCCTCTTACGGAGTGGGATTATGTTCTCATTCTTTCATTCAACTTTAGTTTGATGACTCCATAATGTACATGTGACCTTAGGAGAGGCAGGAGTGTGGGCCTCTGGGCCACATGCATAGCTAGTCCCTGAAATTCACATCTCTGGTATCTACCAAATTGAAGGTGAATTGGCATTTCATTTTTAACTCTTTAGGTAAAAACATTGTACCAAGCTGGAATGCATTTAACTGTGAGTTACTAACCTCCAGATTAGAACTTCATTGGAGGAAACTTAATAAAGACTGAGATTTCTAATAACAAATGCTTTATTCCTTCTTAGTTCTGACTGGAGAAGCGAGGTCCAGAGCATTAAAATAGATTCATCAAATCTCATTATAATGCTTACATGGTCCTCCCCCGCCCCCCACCTTGGAGCATCTCCAAACAAACCACATCCTGAGATTTGAAATGTTTATTGGGACTTACGCTTTTAGATTGTAGGGAACTGGGACAGGGTTCCTCAGTCTCGGCACTACTCAGGGGAGAGAATTCTTCATCGCTGGGGGCTGTCCTGGGTGTTGCTGGGTTTTCGGCAGCACACCCGTCCCCTCTTCACTCATTGGGAGTAGCACCCTGTGAATTGTGATAACCAAAGCGTCTCCAGATGTTGTCACATGTCCCCCGGAGGCATAATTGCCCCCCGACTGAGAACCATTAATTTCAGATAATGCATTTATCAGTTGTTTTAGTAAAGCTTTACGTATACATGGATCAGATAACTACAGAAATCATGGGGAAATGAGGGCATAACTAAGCTGAATTTCTAATCTTCAGAGGCTTTAAATCATTTTCTCCTTTGGCTCATTGCCTTAAAATGGTGTGTGTTGGGATGGGGAGGGGTGTGTTGTGTAACTGTGGGGACCACTGTCTTTGTTGCTTGTGGTGAATTAATGATGGGAATATCTAAGCAGCCGTCAGATTCATAAATCACTGGAAATGAGAGGGATAACACATAAAAGTCTTTCCCTTTTGTTTAGCAATTTATCATTTTGCCTGCACGTTAATAAACAGAGCTCCCCCGAGGTAAGCCCTGGAAGATAAATATTTCTCCCTAATTTTCTCAGTTGTAGCCAGTAGATCACAAACGGGTGGAGAGGCACTTGTCACTGCAAGTTGCTGGCTTCTTAGCCTTCCCTTCTTCCAGCCAGGCCCGTAGCAGTGAATCACAGGTATGGAGTTACAACCGCAGGTAACCGGGTTCTGTTTTGTTTCTGCAACAGGCACCAGATTCCCCAGCCCCAGGCTGTCGGCCAGGCCGAGCCGAAAACGTACACTGTCCATATCACCGCTGTCCGATCACAGCTTTGACCTTCAGACGATGATAAGGACGTCTCCCAACTCCTTGGTCACGATTCTCAATAATTCTCGCAGCAGCTCTTCGGCAAGCGGTTCCTACGGCCACTTGTCTGCGAGCGCAATCAGGTATGTATTTTCCTGAATCCACGAATGTGTCTCTCTTTAATGAAGGGGCAGTGCCCGATTGGCTCGCGTTTGCGGGACTGACTCCCTCTGAGGATGACTACAATTGCACGACCCCGGGCCTGACCTGGGAGGCCCGGCAGATAACACTACAGTGAATTCCAGAGCCAAGGCCTGGGCCAAAGATCATCATTTGGCAGACTTGAATAGTAGCCTGTATGCAGGTACGTAGCTATTCCGTAACGGTGGAGTCCACTTTGTAGGAGGCAGTGAGGATGGCAAATCCTTCGTCGGAACCCCTCTTACTAATTACAGTTCTCTGGAGAGAAAACCCACTTCACACCTGGTCGTGCAGCACATGGAAGCAGGGACAGGAGCAGAATGCAGAAGAGCATGCCTGATGTAATTCACACTTGTTAACGATGTGGGGAGAGGGGTACATTTCAGGAAGGAAGAAAAGGTGTCAGCAGGATTTTTAAGGGAAGAGACATGTGATGACATCGGAAGGCATGTCTGTCAGAGGAAATGGAGCAAAGGAAGATTTCCTTGTTTTCTTATTAAGCATTTTTAGCTTAATTTGAAAGCCCTCTGTTTTGTCATCCTCCCTTGCCGTACGATGAGAACATTTTGACACTTCCTTTGGTAAAGTGCATTATGTCTGTTGCTTGCACGTGAATGTACAAACACAGGCTTCTGTAAACATGCTTACTTGAAAATATTCCTCCCTGCTAATGATCAAACGTGGGCTGGTGTCAATAAGTAGGGAATAAAAGTAAGCCAAGTGATGAATTTTAGGTGTGTTTATACTGCTTTTATCAGCTAATCACGCACGTACTGTTTTGAACTGTGCTAGTTACCAAATGGTTGTTTTAGGCATCGAATTAGATCATGTCCTACTTCATTAACTAGGCAACCGTGGTTATCGACTTTAGTTATCCCTTCCCCTAAGTTTTTCCTCCCATAATTTAAGAGTTCAGTTCCTAGCAGTCTTTTTGAACTGGAGTTTTTCAAACCATGGGTGATTCCTTGCTTTAAAAAGACATACCAAAGGCTGTTTTCACCAGGCTTGCTTTGGATAAGTGAGGGTTTTGTTACTGGTGTGTTTCTATAAATGGACAGCAGCTTTCGTTCTTAGTTGATGGGTGTTCCATGATGGATATACACGTTAGGGAGACCCCAACAGTCTGGGGGAAAAAATGTTAGCAGTAGCAACACAGCATATTTACTAGAAATGATGAATAACACCGTTTTTTTCCATAACGTTCTCAATTACGGTTTTAATTCTTTGCATGTTCAATTATCAACAATCCTCTTTGGCACACAAGTTACTGTTTAAATATTATAAGTCTTATGTTGATGTGATGTGCTTTCAATATGGTCATTCAAGGGTGGAAACATGGAGCAAAGCAAAAAACTCTGCGGATGTGATAGTCGTCAGGACACAGAGGGGGTCCCGGGATGTCTTCAGGATTAGCCACAGTCGTCACCAATGGAGGCTTTGGAGTTGGGCACATCTGTAGTCAGTTTCCAGGTTTGCCACCAGCTCTGCAAACTGTCCTTGCCCTTCGCCTCTCTGAAGCTCAGTCTTCACCCTTGTAAGCAAGAGACCAGACACCCCGTGTAGGAGAGGACATATTTTATTAAAGCCGGCGTGGATGCGCAGTGCCAGAATGAAGACCCCACCCATGGGGCAAAGTCTTGGGAGAGCTGATCCTGGATGGTCCGTCCAGGAGACAAGCTAGCACGGCCCGGCCGTGTGACCCCCATGATCGTCCCAGGCTGGCTCTGAGGAAGTGTGCCTGTCTCCGAACCGTGGCCTGGTTGTTCCTGCACTCCTGGCAAATATTCCCAGCGTCATGCAGACTGCCAATGACCATATCTCAGTTTGCTGAAATTATGTAACTATTATGTGGCTTGACTAGCAGTCATAGCATCAAAGTAGTAGAAATATGGCACACCAGGATATTCACAAAACTTACGTTCACACAGAATCCTGGTGAGCCATTTATTTCTCTTGCTTCTCCTTAGTTTTTCCCTGCTCTGGCTCTCTGCCCAGCTAGCTTGACTTTCTCCAGCATCTCAGAGCCTCAGATTAGAATATGGTGCAGATGGTCACAATGTTGTCTTTCTTTATTCTTACCCCCCACCTTCTCTGCCTTCTTGATCTGCTCACCTCTGCCCAGGTAACCTAGTACCAGATCCTGACTGGGATTGATCATTTTCCCCTGCCTCCAAGGAGCTCCCACAGACCCTGCCATTCTCATTAGAGCTGGAAGAAGAGGTTTGCATTCAAGACCAGTCGGGTCCCAGGAGAGCCCGCTGTGGTCAAGGGTCCGGCCACCATGCCCTCTTGCTCTTCCTTTGGAGCCTGTCCATTCTGTCTTCTCTCTGGCAGCCTGACTTCTCACTCTTCAGTATCCACCTGGTGTGTGTTAGGAGCATAGCTAGCTTTTAATGCACATAAGGTATTTCAGATAACCCAGGATGACATCAGCCTGCCATATAACACGATAATTAGATTAATTGTCATCAGCACCATTTGCCTGTCCTGTGGCTGGAGCAATGTTAGTGCTTTGCTTGCCCTGTTCTTAGTTTGATTTTGTGAACTAAAAACTGACTTGAGGAATAATCAGAAAAGTGGTAGGACCAGTGGGTGGCAGGGAAAGGGAGGAAGGGTGAGCAAAGGTACAAAGGGTAGCTAACTGTCTTGGGAGGGAAAGCTACAGGAGCGAGCGTGGATTGAGGGTACGTGCAGTCTCTGCTGTGGACCAGGCAGTGGGGCTGGGGCGAGAGGCACGGTCCTTGTTTCTGTGGCACAGAGATTTGGAAGAGCGTACTGTCACTCTTGTTTTACTTGTGCACGTAGTGGGTCTTTGCAGGAGGAAGTCGGAGAAGGTCACATGCTAATATCCCAATCCCCTGCCTTGTACTGGACCCCAAACTGCATTTGACTTTTGCACCATTTTCTGGTGCCTGACCTGCTTCTGGTATTGGCCTGCAGAGTAACGCCGTTGGTTGAGTTGTAAAGGTGGCAGTTTTTTTTTTTTTTTAAGATTTTTTTTATTTATTTGACAGAGAGAGACACAGCGAGAGAGGGAACACGAGCAGGGGGAGTGGGAGAGGGAGAAGCAGGCCTCCCGCGGAGCAGGGAGCCTGATGCGGGGCTCGATCCCAGGACCCTGGGATCATGACCCGAGCCGAAGGCAGACGCTTAACGACTGAGCCACCCAGGCGCCCCAAGGTGGCAGTTTCATGGCTGCACACTGCCCCCCACAACACCTGTGCATTCTCACCTTGACACCACTCAATGGATATTTCTTGCATGAAGAAATGAGGGAACTCATGGGGGGGGGAGGGGCAGAGAGAGAGGGAGAGAGAGACTCTCCAGCAGGCTCCACACTCAGCACAGAGCCCAACACAGGGCTCGATCTCACGACACTGAGATCATGACCTGAGCTGAAATCAAGAGTCAGACGCTTAACCGACTGAGCCACCCAGGCACCCCTGAAGGAGCTCTTTAATGTGTAATTAGAATTCTCATCAGCCCCTTTATTAAGGGAACTTTCTACATGGCGGATGAATAATTCTGATTTGCAGAATGTTACAGTCTTTATGAATAGTATAGTAAATGTCCATATGTTGAGAGCTATAGAGAGTTAGAGAGATGGATACAAAATAAAAGGATAAAAAAGCAAATGCCCACCTTTGTGTATGATTCTTGTGTTTGTATCTTTAGTTAATAATTCAGACTGCTATAAAAATACTGTAGAAAGCAGATATTTATTCACAAAAGCCCCTTGGCGTACTCGATTATGTCTCACTTTTCAACCCTGTTGTCCGAGTGTACATCACAAATCTTATTCTTTAAATATCATAACTAAAATGACCGTTCCGAAAAAAACCCATGCACTTGGAAAGGTCGTTGTGAAATATTTGGCCATCTCAAGAAGTTTTAACTTGTCCATCTCCCTGAAGACTCCCATCTAAGCCTAGATGATTCACATTTATCAAATACAACCTGTGACCTCCACTCTCTGTGGTTAAGGTGGATGTTATAAATACCCATTTAATGGCAGTATAGTAGAAATACATTTGCCTGGGCTAATACCTTCCCCCAGAAAATGCACCACTGTCAGAAGAGGGGGGTTTCAGATGACCCTCCTCTTCCTGTAGTCTCCTGCCAAAGGTAAACGGAATGAAGAAATGAGTAACCCACTCATTTCTAACCCACCAGCTACAGCGTTTTTGCTTTGAGTTTATGACTAAACCAAAGATGGGCTTGTGTCCTCAGTGGTCTTGGGTCTGGCGTGGCCAGGACAGACACCTCGATGAAAGTGGGAGTCGGGCACCACCAGTGGGACAGGCTGCGTGGCCGGCACCGTGGGCTGTGGCTGGGGTCGGGACAGTGGGCTGTGTTCCGTGTCCTGCAGTGGCCACTGTCTCAGGTCCCAGGCCCCTGGAGGAAGCAGGTGTCTGTTGCCACTTCCCGAGGCAGGAGAGGGACCAGCTTGGCCTCCACAGCAGCTTGGCTCTGGGCTTGTTGATGGCCTGTTACAGGCTGGGTGGGACACAGCAAAGAATAGAGTGAAGGTGAATACAGTGCCAGATGACCAGTGCCCTGAAACTCTGATTACTTCTTCTGAAAGTAGTGACAAACTTCTCCCCCAGCAGCCGCAAAAGTGATTAATACTGAGAAAGATAGTTTTTATTGCCTCCCATATGTGGTCATTGGTTTTAGAGAGCACTTCATTTCATCAGTTGCTTGTTCATTCCCCCCCCCCCACAATATTTAGCTGCATATTCAGCTCTGTGCTAGTCACTGTGCTGGGCATGGGGGCTACCAGGATGGATGAGAGGCAGGATCCCCGCCCTCACTGAACTCCTGAAGGGGAAGAGCCTCCAATCAGGTATGACTGAATGAACGGACCAGATGAGGCCGTGGGATGGAGAAGCTTGGGTGCTGAGGGAGTGTCAGGAATCCAGGGGCCAGATGGCAGTAAACA